TATGATAGCTTTTATGAGCTCAAATGATTTGCGATTGACTCACATGACACGCATGCTGCCAACTTTTGAACTGTTAGTGACAGACGGTCTTCTGATTGGAAATCAGTTGCTCAGGCAACCTCCGTCTTGTGGCCTGGCTTCCTTTTCCATTTAATGTACCTTCCAACGCGTATTTTTTTCACCGAAGCCGATCGACGGATGTTTAGAACGTCGAGCGTTACTGACCCCAAAACTGCCGCAATATCGTTCACTTATCCGTTAACAGCGCAAGTTTTCCGAGTCGCTTTCGTGATTGGATCACAGCGCTCGCAAACGCAACACAAAAGATTAGCGTTAAACATCCAGTTGGCATGCACCCGCTGACTGGCACGGCTTCACGCCCACTGTGCTACGACGCAGTTGGTACCGCGTACTGTCCCAACCACCCCTCCCCCCTACCCCCACCTCTTCGCCCCGAAAATTCCGTTTTCCAACGCAGGCAACTGAAAACACAACAAAAAGGCCCAACGAGGTATCCGAGGCAGAGGCAGAAGCTTGTAAATGTCAGCAAACCCCGGCCGTATCCGCCCCCTTTTGGCGTATCAGGTGTCGGGGGAGGCCGTCAGCCCGCCCTCCCTTGCCCCTCTGAAAGGGGCGATCTGCGTACAAATTGGCACATGAGTCACGACAAGCGTCACTACCTCGGCCAAAAGTAAACACCTTCACATAGACTTGGAAAAATAAACACACGCACGAAGACAGTGTTTTCTCTGAAGTCGTGAATCACGAAACAGGCAGTTTTTCTTCATGTGCAAGACCTATCCCCAGAGAAGTAATGCGGGGTGGTGCGAGAACGCGTGCGTGCGTGTGTGTCTCTAGTTGTGTGTGATTAGTCGACAGTGAGTTGGTGCATTTGGTTGCCGGATGGGACCACGTGAGTTGAGATTTCGTTCAAACGTTGCGGTAGCAATCAGTGCATGCTAATTCTGCCATTCCATCTCCTCGAAACGGCTTCTATGGAGCTGTCCTCTAGGAGTCGACTCGGTGTCAGGTCACTATCATAAAAGTTCGATTTCAGTTGAACAGTCTGGTTGCCCAGCACATTATCGGATCACACTAATTCCTAAGCTCAGGCCGAAGAGTTGGTTGTGAAAGGCCAGCATCGTATCCTTCACAATCGTGACAGCGTAAATGAGTTCCTGGGGCGCTTCAGCACAAGCCACAAATTCTCTAATTGTTGTGGAAATTAGTTTGGTGTGAACATACTGACCAATCAGGAACACGTCAAAGTGTACAAATATTTGGGTTCGCTACACGAACCAAAGAATACCTGAAAAAAGTTGGATTTAATGTGTATTGCGTGAATAGGTCTTCTCGATGTTCTAGAACATTTTGAAAACGAATGGTGGAAAAATGAAAATGACCGCCAACGGTAACTAGAGGAAATCTATTGTACAGGGGTTCAAACCCAAATTTCTGCTTCACGAAAAGACCCGCCGCGTTTAAATGGAGTTGTCTGTTGTTTGAAGACGACATCAACGCGTCGAGAAATCCACAGAGAACAACGGCGGTGCCACAATTCACGCTGGTAACTTCCAGTAAATCACGACTAGTCTGTTTTCTGTTTCAGCATCGTCACCATCGCGGAATTCCACTTGCCTGCCACTGAACTTGTCTTCTCCATGGACTCTTCAATGTTTAGAAGGGGCTGATAGACCTGAGGCTAGCCTTTGTGAATTTGTGCCCTTTTTGAGACCTACAGCACTTTGCTTCGGCTATGGAGAAGGTGTATTTTTTCACTAGTTGAATATTTTAAATGTTTAAATTTCTTTGGCGCAATAAAAGCCTACCGGATCCCCAAAAATTTTGATCATCCATCAAATCGAAATCTTGATTAGATTTCTTTTATGATCACCAATAAACCATTTTGGGCGGCAAATCCACGCACGCTTGTTCAAACGACTCGGTAGCCCTATTCTCATTGGCTCGCATTTTCAACTATCGATTTTTGCATCAACTCTGACTGGTAGTGAGGGAACAAAAGATCGTAAAATTAGATGCATCTACCAACGAATCGACCAATTTAAACTGTCTTAGTGGGAAACTTAAAATGCACAACTGGGCCACAGATAAGTTCCAAGATTACTCCAGTTCCGCTGCAGCGTGACTATTAATGGTGTGAAGATCACGAGCAGGAATTAGTTGTGTAGAGAGCTTTCACACTGGACTGTTCATGAGTTTCGGTTCATCCTCACGACCGCACCCCGTACAAAACAGCCTTTTTCTGCCATGTACACGTGTTTTTACCCCACCGATTTCGGTCAGTCCGCAGACTTGTGCAGATGCCTTTTGCACACGTCATGGACTTTTTGCCTGGAGTGTCGATGTTTCACTAAAACCTACGGCTTCACTCATCCAGCCAAAATTGAGACTACCAATTTACACCAAGTTGGCATTGGCAGCTAGGTTTATCGCTGACAGACTGGACATGTATCAGCTCACCACTTCTGGACGTTGCGGAGTCTTCGTTGAAGCGACCTTCATCACGAATTAACGCCTTGCTGCTGCAACGCTCGGATCTCTTCTTGCAATTTTGGCCAGTGCGACTTCGACAACACTGTTGAAGCGCCATACTCTTTGAGTCTGGAGTGGGGTGAAGACTGTGGATTGTGGAAGAGAGTGAGTTGGTGTTCCTTACTACAGGAAGGTCGATACTCGCACCCCAATTCAAGCATTTGAGTCACCTGAAGAGAAAACTACGAGCCAATCTGGAATTGGGACCAAATTTTGACTGCGTTGGCGTCTGGGTATAGGTTGTTGTGGGCCCAGCATGTGGTCTGGAACCACGTCGGGGCCACGGAATTAACCCTGGCCCGATTACGTTTTTCTGTTACCCGCGAAAAAGAAAAAGATCGGAGAGAACGCGGACACAACCGTTTGCTTCAGAGCTCAATCACGTTGGTGTCGTTGTGTCGTGTGTGAATTATGCGCGTGTGTATTTATACCTCGGACGTGTGAGTCATACATGCGCTAACATCGAGACCTAGGTGCGAGGATAATCCAAATATTCGTGTGAATGAGAGGGGAGTTGAAGATCCGCGTGGCAGGCGACATGCTGCGAAAAGGGGAACCCTGTATCGGAGGTGGAGCGACCGGATTAATTGGTGTGAATAAGCACGATTCACAGCAATGTTCTCACACTTGTCTTTGTACTCACCGACGGCTGAGGAGTAGGGCAATTCACAATAAGTTTTAACAGCTGACGTCGACGCTTCTGTCAAACGCAGAGAACTGTAAATAGAGGTCGCTGATTCTTCCCACCACCTCAAAGTGCCTGCTGCCGCCAAGAATTCGCCTGTGACAACAGTTAGCTCCCGATAAGGAACGTGTGATGGAATAAGAACTAGTCAAAGTGTGTTCTGCGTGTGGCCTAAGAGTGCAATCAAACTCACCATGATGTAAGCACAGTAGGTTGTCTTTTTCACATTCCAACGCCGAATAAGATAATGCGCTTGTCGTATAGCCTGTAAATCAAACAATTCACAACCCCTTTTTGGCGGATGTACCCGTTAAGTTGCAGTTTTTTGAACCCCTGATTAATTTTTTTTCAATAACAAAAAGGCGTTGAACAGTAGGACATAAATCAAAGCTGCGCAAGTGGCCGAGTTTCGTCCATCGTGGCCACAACGGCTTCAAAGCAAAGCCAAAAGAACTTGGACGATAAAATCTTTTTCTGCTTCAAATCATCTAGGATTCCATCATTTGGTACTAAAATTTGACGCGTATAGACAGGGGTTCGAACTAGGATGCCAGTCTGCAATAATCTGATTGAGTTCATGGTCTAGGGGTCACCTATTCATGGCATAATTAATGAACTCACCGATTTCTATTCCCTGCCAACCAGCGTCTTATTGATGTGACCTTGTTTGAGGAGTTCAGGGTGATTGGAGGTCAAAGTTCAACCTTGTATTGCCATGGTTGCCGTAACTATTGTAAACACAATGAATATGCAAAGTCTACAGGAAAGTCCATCTTGTATTGCGAAATTCCTTGCAAAGGGCTGCGAAATTAACAAAATTGGTTGTTGTACAAACAGGTACCTCGTATTTTAGAATGCTGCTGGCAAAGTGAGCGCTCTTGTAAGAAAAATAAGACTCATTTTTGAACCCACAATAGTAAACCGATCAAATCCACTAGTCTTTTTCGAACTTACTTGCTAGCAAATAAGTAGTGCGCGCATTCCGCTACGCGGTTACTCAATTTCGGTGACTCCTGAGAACCTCGCAAAGTGACTAAATTAAGCCCTATCCCTGTTAATTATGACTTCTGCTCCATGGAAATTATACGGTAAAGCACAAGTAGTCATTCAATAATCCCACTAGTCAAGAACGTTTTCTGATTGGCGCGTCCCTTGGCACCCCCGAAACCCCCGATTAGACGGTGGGAAGCCAACCATTTCTTGTTTTCACCTTCATCAAAAGCAGTGGCCACAATTGTTTTTGAGATTGTAGTATACCTTTTTTTTCAAGTCCCCACATTCCACTGAGTGATCTTTGTGAACAACTGTCCCCACCGGACTGCCACCCAATCCGATTTCGCGACACCAGTACACGCAATCAAATCGAGAAAAGAAATTTGGTGATAGCCTACTGCCTGGGTTTTGGTGAAACCGGTTCGCCAGTGTCTAGTGTCCTACGAACGCGAAAAGTTGTTCTAGTCAAGTTGGCTAACAGGATGCCTTTGCTTGTATGCATTTTTTTTCGGAGTGGGGTGGTAAGGGAGGGTAAAAAACCATGGGGCGACCCCACGGAACACGATATCTAACGCCTATTTCCTTCCCTTATTCTGCTTCCTCTTCTTTTGTTCCCCACGACGAGGGAATTTGCGTTTTCCTAAACCAAAATTGGCAGAGCATTTAGACGTGCAGTGGCGTTGCCACTGGCACCACTTTAAACCTCGACACAAGGGGCTCAAGGATTCTTAAGACCTAGCAGTCTCCTGATTGGTTCGATCTTGAATTTCTTAGGCTGAAGATGACAAGTGTCTTTAGACGTCCCCCTCAAGAGTGTGCAGTGAGCCCCAGCATGCGGTCTTGAACCACGCTGGAGCCACGGAATTAACCCTGGTCTGCGATGAAGAAAAAGATCAGGGAAGAAGTAGACGCAACCGTTTACTTCAGAGCTCAACCACGTTGGTGTCGTGTGTGGGGTTTGCGTGTGTATATTTATGCCTCGGATGTTTGAGTCATACATGCGCCAACATCGAGACCTAGGTGTGAGGATAATCCAAGATAAATATCCGTGTGAACGAGGGGGAAGTTGAGGATCCGCTTGGCTGGTGACATGCTGCGAAAAGGGGAACCCTGTGTCGGAGGGTGGAGAGACCGGTTTAAGGCGTGTAAATAAACACGATTCCTAATAAGTGATTTTGGACGCGGAAAGGGGTGATTTGGCCGCCACTGTCAAGTGTCTCATCGAATCGCATTGAAACACCAAATTGATTTCGCCGGTCAATGTGATAGGCCAATTAAAACAAGCTTTAGATGCTTTTGGGGGCACAGGAGCACAGTTCGAGTTGTATGCTGTATTTTCATTAGCGGCGAGACGCTTTCAAGGGCCTTCAACAAGGTGAAATCGCGTGAAACTGTCCAAGGCTTATTAAAAGTGTAGGGTAGGTGTAGGGGGTCTTGGTTAGGTTAAATAATTTCGTTCTGTAG